CTGAAGTTATTTAAAGTATGAATGTGTACAATTTTATTTACCACATGGGATTGTACTTTCTATATTGTTCTTTTCCAATCAGTGATGAAGAGCAATTTAATTAATATTAAAAGAGCTGAGTTCACTTTTAAGTAACAGGCAGATACTGTATGCTCTGCTCAGTTTAATAAACTGCCAGTAATCATCAACAAAGAATTTTTCAGAGCTTACAGAAGTAATAAGTTAACAATATGTACGGAGACAACTTGTCAATATGCTAAAATGCTGAATTAAAAGGAACATATTGATGGAGAATACGTGTACTGGTGAGAAAATAAATAAATGATCTTTCCTAATGGCAAGTAGAACAAACACAGAAGAAATAAGATTACCCAGTAATAAAATAAAATACCAAAATAAAATAAAATAATTCCCCCTTCCTAAGAATAACTAAGAAAAATAAGAATATAAATTACTTTAATTAGAATTATTTTTTTTTAAGAAAGAGTCCTAGAATTTTATTGTAGATGGGAAACACATCACCATTACTAAAAGAATATCTTATTTCTTAAAAGAAGATTATGCAAAATTTGCAGCCACTATATTTTTTAAAGGCTAGGAAAAAACTTTTGGTACAACTATAGATAGAAATGGCTTAGGAGAATTCACAGTAGTGCTAAAATTATCTAGATTACATAAGAGGAAGAACACATTTCATAAAAGCATTGTGAAATATTCAACCTTCATGTAACCATCACTCTGTAAGTTGCCATGACAGAGACTATTTTTCTTCAATTATTCTATTTCTTAAGCATCAATTCAGGCATCACTTCAGTTTCTTTCTGACTTTCCTCATTCATTTGCTAGAGATGGAAGAGAAATTATATATTCAGAAACACGTATTCAAGGGTTCCGTTATGTGTTGCTTTAGCATTAAACTTTTCTAAATTACTGAAGATGTAATAGTAAAGGACAGCTGAAACAAAAGAGCTGCTTGTCTCAACCTTTGCAAGTGTATCACCTTCTAGTACAGAAAATCAAAAGCAAATTAAATTGGAAGCATAATGGTAGGCAAATACACAGGTAAGCATACTACAGGAAAAAAGGTGTTTCAGTTTGGAATAGTTTGAAGTAAGTAACAGTGTTAACTCAAAAGATACTAGAGTTAATAAAAGTAGCAAAATAATTTTACCACATTTTCATTTTTGAGGCATCTGAGAATATCAAGTTTTAATCTGAAAATATCTTAAGATTTTCTGGTTTACTTTGTTGGTTTGGTTTGCTTTGGTTTGGTTTTTTTAATCTATCTTTTCTTTCCATTTCACTTCCTTTTTCTTAAAAGTTGAAAAACATGACCTTGATGGAAGAATCCAATCCAGAAATAACAAAAGTGCATAGAATCCAGGTGCAATCTTTCTATATAAAAAGGATTTATGTGTACAAAGGTGTTTGATTAAATATATCTAAAGCTTAGAATGGTTAGTTGACAAAACTTAGTCAAAGTTTAGGCAAAGTCCACAAGATTTATTAAATCATCTATTGGTAAAGAATGCCTAGATGTGACTCTAAAATAGATGTAATTAATGTTTGATTGGTTGGTTTAGCCGAAAATAGATATAAAGCTGAAAAAAACTTAATTTAAAGCCTATTATATATACTCAGAAACCAAGAAGGCTACTTAAAATTTGAAGATAAAATACACTTTAAACTCAAATGCATTGTCGACAATCACATCAAGAGATCTCATGAGACTGAGGCAAGACTTCACGCATAACAGCATCAGGTCCTCTGGAGTTAAAATGTTTTGACATTTTCCACTGCAGAGAACTGGACATAAAATTTACTGCTGCTGTACATTTTATCTGTTTCCACCTATGTCTCTTTTATTTAAAGTTATCCCTTTCACACTATTATAATTTATTGTGCACAGAACTAGATGCACCGAACTACTAACAGGCTGGAGCCACTAGCTGCAAGAATGTATTGCTATGGAATTTTCCTTTAGATTTATAAAACAAATGGTTAGAAAAGCAAAAAAATCCAAAATTATTATTACTTATTACCTTTGGGTTTTGAATGGAATAAGCCTGGGAAAATTAGTTCTCAGTGAAACATTGTTTCTGATTGCTATGACCTTAAGGGCCGTAGCTTTAGCAAGTCATCTTAGTATTGTTAAACTCAATGTCATAAAAAAAAAAAAATATATATATATATACACACCTACATGAATAGTTGATATGATTTGTGTATCTACATGTCTCAAGGCAACATTAAAATATGCACTCAGCTTTGAACACATAATCTGGGTCATGAAAAATAAATCTGTGTTATTCATCACCTTGCAGCATTTCTAACAAAGTAAATGCAAGTGTATTTTAAAAGAAAAAAAGGTAAAAAAAAATATTAATTTGAATAATATTCTAATGATAAAAGAAAGGAAGAAAGGAGGAAAGGAAGAAGGGAAGAAAGAAATTGCACACTAACTTGGCAGCTGACGTCCATTCCAGCCTCGAGAAGCACCTGTACAACAGCTTTGTGGCCATTACGTGCAGCAAGATGCAAAGGAGTGTGTTTTCTTGTATTACAGTTCATCAGGTTTGGATATGCTTTGATGATCATTTTTACAACACGCAGACGTCCATAAAGTGCTGCCAGATCCAGAGGTGTTTCTAGTTTGTTGTTCCTTATTGTAGGGTCTGTTAGCTCTTCTAACAGAACAGCAGCTACTTCTGAATGACCATACTGAGCGGCACAATGCAGTGCTGTTTCATTTTCATTGTTCTGTTAAAACAAAACAAAAGCTTCAGAAATTCATGTTTAATCACACAATAGAACTGCTCGGCTTCTATAAATTGCCTCCATGGGATCACTGCTATAAATCGCCTCCATGAGATCACTACACAGGGAGGGTTTGCAATGTAATGTATGGTAATGTATGTTAAATGCTTCAGAATGACTCCACTAAAATTTTACTAGTAATATATTAACACTTCAGCTTTGTGGCTCTCTCTCCTTGTTGCTTTATGATATGCCAAAATCTGTAACCCTTCTTTATTCAGTTGTTCCTGAAATCATAGCTGAGTCCTTCTCTTAGAAATACTCTGGCATTTATGTTAAGTCTCTCTTCTCAGTATAACTGGTTTTAAATCATAGCAGTTTGTTATTGGAGTAGTGAAATTACAGAGAAAAACTATGTAATGAAAAAGTATCAGGCACAAGGCTAGTTTCATATATCACTGTAAAAGTTACTATCAAGAAAACAATCAAAGCTTGGAATAAGGCAAAATAGCAACTGTAGATATTGGAAACACTTAGCATATCATGCAAGCAGATATTCCTCTCAGAGCTCCAGGGAGATGTACATGTGCTTTTTAAGCCACATGAGTATTTGTATGCTGTGGATTGAATAAGTTTTTCCTTTATAAAGCAATGCCCCCAAGTCTTTATCTAAACAGTATTTAATAATCTTAGTAATAAATAAATATTGAGGATAAGCAGTATCTTCTTCAGTTGTTTTCTTCCAGTTCTGCCTGTATAATCTGTTTGGGATTGCCTGTATACTTGCAATCCCAAACAGACAAATAACTTCAGGCAGAGAGGAAGAAAATAATTTACAGAGCTCTCTGAGTTCTATATGCCATCTATATTATTAATATATCTTATGCAGTCTCTATGAAGCCTTAAAAAAGAGTAGACACTATAAATTTTAAAAGTATGTACATTGAATGCCTCTTCTGATATATGATTTATAAAATTTTGTGACAGTTTTGAAAATGTTGTAAAAGTAGAAAGCCAATAAGCTAACATATCATATAAAGAAATAAAAAATTAATGTAAATTCAGAAAAGATACTAGAGAAGGGTAGAAATAATTCTAAAGAAAGGAGAAGAGATAAATCTGAATCCATGGGCTGTATTTCTCAAGGAAACAACTGAAGAAAGTTCTGGGGACAGAGAATGGAATACAGAAAAAAAGATTTGTCTTTTGAAAGACTGAAGGGGTGAGAGAATGAGGCTTTGGCCTCATACTCAAAAGCTAGCTAGGATAAGGAAATCCATGCTGCACAGTAATATCTAGAAAGGTGGAAAGGGAGAAAACATTTTGTTTTTCTTTTTGGTAACAGTGTTTCTAATTCTATATTCAAGAACTTAAATCTCAGGTTTGTGGTTTTAACAACATTGCTGTCATTTTCATTTCATCTTGTAATTTAAAAGGACTCAGATGAACCTGAGAGACAGAAGAGACAGATTAAAACATTCAGATAAATTAATGTTGCTGATAAACTCTTCAGGTGTTTGTGACACCACACAAGATCACAGCGACTGGAATGTTTCCTGCTAAACTGCAAGACAGAACCTGGAAAGTAGGAAGAGCCAAGTAGAAAGTGAGAAGTTTCCATTAGCAGATGTGACTTGATGACTAATAAGTATTTGAATCATTGTGCATTATTCAGATCACTGCATGTTTTTTCTCTATTACATAGGCCATAAATTCAGATTAAAATATATTATCGCAATACTACATGGCTGCAATGACTTACCAACTACCTGTGATATGCTTTTTGTGTTCTAGTGACTTCTAATGTATCCTTTATACAGGACTGGGTAAAGCAATTTTTTTATGTACAGTGGTATACCTACAAATCACAAGCATGGTTTATTAGAATTTATTTTTAGATTTACAGTATTTTATGGACTGAACTGCATAGATGAACAGGCAAGTGCAGTCTAATTTTGTGTACAATTACCACAATTAAGTATGAAAATCAGATAATGGCATATAAAACGGCGAATTGTGGTAATTTGTGCCTATGTTACTGTATTTACATGTCCAATGGAAACACCTACACAAAGAAATACGATGTATAACTATATCCACATTCTGTGAGGTAAACAGCAAAATGTTCGTTTACTATATAATTATCAGATACTTCTATCTATCTGCCTATGTTTTAATTTTTTCAAGTATTTCTGGATAATATCTTGTGCCAATAGTCTAATATTGTAGTTTAAAAGTATTCTGACTAAATTTTCAAAGAGACATAAAAATTAAATTGGCCACAGCCTTTTTCTCAAAATTTCTGGACAAAATTTCAGCCACAGATACAGACACATAGAGAGCAACCAGTCCAAATCACTGCTGCTGCACAGTAAACTGAAATTTGTTCCCTTTAAATAAAGAATATCAGCTGAAGAGCATATTTACAGAAAAGTATACTTTAAAACAACATGGTGCATAAAAGCATCCATAAATATAACAAAATGTTATTATTTTCAAATGAACATTGTTGAACATTTTTGTGTGGTTTCTTTGCATTTGCCAAATTAAAGCTACATTTGAGTTAATGACAAATCAAACTGATTCAAAATTAAAAAGAACTAGGTATCACTTAAATAAAATAGAAGAATCCAACCTGGACAAATATGATAATTAAATTACCTACACATATGCAGTCAGAACAGGCATTGTATATATTGTGTTATCAGAGCAGAGAGGTACTACTTAATTAAAACTTAATAATACAACATCCTTCCCTCTATAAAATGTAAATTAATCAACTCAATTCAGGTATAAAAGACAGAATTATTTTTAACTTTCAAAGAAAGAATTACAACTTGTTTAACTGCACTCTAAATTTATCTGGTTTGACAATTTAGTACTACTTACATAAAATAAATCACCTTGGAAGCAGTGAGTTTTACTGAGGAGAGAGGTCAGAGGTTTTAAGTAGGTTTTGACAGTCCACCATCTTCAAACTTAGTAAAGGAGGGAATGCCTACCAGATAGACACAGCTGGTTCAGCATTCCCAGAGAGACCACTAAGATGGAGGAGGCTATAACAGTGTATTTCCTGGACTGGAAGAAACATTCACTTCCTCTTCTTAACCCTCATGGAAAGATGGACATGGATGCCTCAGTCATTGTAACAAACTTCTTCTTTAAGGCACTTTTTTATAGAAGACATACACTAAGAATAAAAAAAACCCCAACATATGATGATGTTTTAAGAGTTGAAGTTATGTGATTTCCTTGGTCCCAAAAAAGCTGTTACTCCTGACTTGTCTTTTGCGTGGATAAAGCCAACCGAGGTGTAACATTATCGATTTTAAGGTACTGTTTGTCCTCATATCTCTAAAATAGCTTATTATTTTGAAGAAATATTTGAAAGACATGAAAAATTATTCTTGAAGAAATTAATAATAATTTAGTATTATTGCCTACATTTTCAGTCCTAAATCTTAACAGTTGTTTATGGAGTACAGATAGGTTATGTGCTAATATTCATTGCCATGAGCAGTTAACCTGCTATGAAAATAGAAATCCTAGAATCATGGAATGGTTTGGGTTGGAAGGGACCTTAAAGATCATCTAGTTCCAACCCCCCTGCCATGAGCAGGGACACCTTGCACTAGACCAGGTTGCTCAAAGCCTCATCCAACTTGGCCTTGAACACTATTTCTTCCTAATCTAAAATTCCCCTACTCCAGGTTAAAGCCATTGCCCCTTGTTTTTTCACTACCTGCCCTTGTAAAAAGTCCTTCCCTAGCTTTCCTGTAGCCCCTTCAGGTACTGAAAGGTTGCTATAAGGTCTCCATGGAGCCCTCTTGTCTCCAGGCTGAACAACCCCAACTCTCTCAGCCTGTCCTCACAGGAGAGGTGCTCCAGCCCTCTGATCATCCTTGTGGCCCTCCTCTGGACTTGCTCCAGTAAGTCCATGTCCTGCTTATGTTGGGGGTCCAGTATTGTACTGGACACAGTACTCCAGGTGGGGTCTCAAAAGAGTGGAGCAGAGGGGCAGAATCACCTCCCTCGACCTGCTGGCCACGCTTCTCTTGATGCAGCCCAGGATACGGTTATTGGCCTTCTGGGCTGCAAGCGCACATTGCCAGCTCATGTTGAGCTTCTCATTGACCAGTACCCCCAAGTCCTTCTCCTCAGGACCGCTCTTGATCAATTTTCTGCCCAGACTGTATTTGTGCTTGGAACTGCCCTGACCCAGGTGCAGGACCTTGCACATGGCCTTGTTGAACTTCATGAGTTTTCTGGGCCCACCTACCAAGCCTGTCAAGGTCCCTCTGGGTGGCATCCCTTCCCTCCAGTGTGTCAACTGCACCACTCAGCTTGGTGTCATCGGCAAACTTGCTGAGGGTGCACTCAATCCCACTGTCCATGTCTCCAACAAAGATGTTAAAGATTACAGGTCCCAATACTGACCCCTGAAGGATGCCACTCATCACCGGTCTCCACTTGGACATCGAGCTGTTGACCGCAACTCTTTGAGTGTGCCCACCCAGCCAATTCCTTATCCACCGAGTGGTCCATCTGTCCAGTTCATTCTTCTCCAATTTAGAGAAAAGGATGTCATGTCGGACAGTGTCAAACGCCTTGCACAAGTCCACTAGTTGTTCTTCCCTTATCCACCAATACTGTAATTCCATCATAGAAGGCCACCAAATTAGTCAGGCACCATTTGCCCTTGGTGAAGCCATGTTGGCTGTCACCAATCACCTCCTCACTTACCTCATTCTCCCTGTGCCTTAGCATAGTTTCTAGGAGTATCGGCTCCATGATCTTGCCTGGCACTGAGGTGAGACTGACCGGCTTGTAGTTCCCCAGATCTTCCTTGTTTCCTTTTCTAAAAATGGAGGTTACGTTGCCCCTTTTCCAGTCCATGGGAACTGGAGGACCAGACTGCCATGACTTCTCAAATATGATGGACTACTTTGAATAAATATCTGCATGCAAGTTACCATTGTGTGATTAGATCTCCAAAACTGATA